TAACAAAAGCACTCAGACAATAAAAATATTTCCCTCCTGGGCAACAGCAGCTTTCCCAGTTTAATTTCCTGCATGAATCCCAGGGACTCCGGTTCTAAACCTGGAGTAGATAGAGGATGAGTGGCCATCATAAGGCAGCATGGCCAGTTGAATCTGGTGGCTAGGTGCACTAGCTAAACTGTAATCCCAAAGGCAAGTGGTTCAAATGCACTTGCTAGGAGAAAGTTGGGTAGTCTCCCTCCAATGTGACTTACTGCCTCTGAAAATCCACTGGAGGGTAAGCTATGAGTCAGTTCTGACTCAACAGCACACAACAACAATAATTTGTGCTTTGGGAACAAGCCTATTTCTTTAGCTCATACCCCCAAGGTGGTCAGGGTCAAGGCAACTACTGAAATATGCTCAACTAAACACCAAATATTTTTTTTCAGTAACCACTTTTCAAATTATCAATAGCTAATAACACTAAACAAAATCTGATTCCAACCTACTTCACATAACTCTCAGAATGGATGAAAAATAAAATATCAAAACTAAAACTAATCCTGTATTACACAAGCACCATTCTGCACTATTAGTGGACTGACTGCACTCATTAAATGACAGTTTTTATAGGTTGTTAAAACCATCTGGTGGCACAAGTGTTTAAAGTGATCAACTGCCAACTGAAAGGTCTACAGTTCAAGACTACTAGCTGCTCTGCAAGTGGAAGACTGTAGCATAATTTCTGATATAGAAGTGGAAACTGAAAGTGTTAAGAAAAATATTTAAATATAGCACTCTGGAGTCTCTGGGTAGCAAAATTGATTAAGCATTTGACTACTGGTTAAAATAGTGGAGGTCAGAACTCACTGAGAGGCACCCTGGAAGACAGGCCTATAATCTATTTCCAAAATGTCACAGCCTTGAAAACCCTAGAGAGTGCCATTTTATTCTGTACTCACGGTGTTCCAGGACTGAAAATTAATCTAACAGCAACTAACATTAACAACAAATAAACACTTGAAAGTAGAACCATAAAGTGCACAAAAACTACTTCTTCAAAGAATCCAATAAATAAGCAAACTAAACCGCTCTTCAAATGTGGGCCTGTCTCATGCATTTGGCTCTTCTGAACACCTGCAAAATGCTTTATTTTCAAAGAAAAACTCACACATTTCAGTATCATTTACACTAAGAAATTCATCTAGACTCATTTCAATATAAAATACCTAGTCAAATGATAAAATAGTCTGAAAATAATATGGATTCTAAGTATTTCTACTATCTGCATATTAACCAGCTGGTAGCAACTACAAAGAACTATTTACATATGTATTGGGTGTACGCCAGGGATGTGTCCTCTCTCCATACCTTTTCAACCTATATGCAGAACAGATTATCCAGGAGGCTGGGCTGCATGAGGGAAGTGTGGCATCAGGATTGGAGAAAGATTCATCAACAATCTGCGTTATGCAGATGACACAGCCCTGCTTGCTGAAACTGAGGAGGACCTGGAGCACTTGCTGCAGAGAGTCAGGTCTGCAGCCTTCAATATGGATTGAGGCTCAATATCAAGAAGACAAAGATTCTAACCATTGGACCAACTGACAGCATCAGGATGGATGGTGAAGAAGTTGAGATTATTAACAGCTTTAGTTTGCTTGGCTCCATAGTCAACAATCTTGGCACCAGCAGCAAGGAAATGAAAAGACACATTGCGATGGGAAAATATGCTGTTAGGCACTCTCCAAAGTACTCCAAAGTACTGAAGAACAATGGTGTCACTCTGGAGACTAAGGTGTGCCTGATACAGGTCGGTCTTTGCAATCATTTGCTATGCATCAGAGAGCTGGAGAATGACTAGGGAGGATGGAAGGAGAATTGATGCCTTTGAGCTGTGGTGCTGGAGAAGAGTACTGGTTATACCATGGACTGCTAAGAAAACAAACAGGTTTATCCTAGAGAAGATTAAACCAGGCTGTTCCTTGAAGGCAAGGATTCTGAGGCTTCATCTGAAATACTTTGGACATGTTGCAAGGATGGACCGGTCCTTGGAGAAGCAAGTCATGCTTGGGAGGATGAAGGGACTACACAGGAGAGGAAGACCCTCTATGAAGTGGATTGATTCAGTGACTGGGGTATTTGAGGGTAACTGTCAGAGACAGTGAGACTGACACTAGAGCAGGGTTTAGGGCTGTCGTACATAGGGTCACTATGAAACTCAACAACAATTATCTCATATAGTAGTCACCAGCCATATGTAGCTAAGCTAAATAGAGGTGATTGGTAAATATAAAATATACACCAGAAAAAGAGATTACAAGCTATTCCTTATTTTTTAAAATGTCTAATATTTTAGATGTTTTTCGTTAAAATATATTAAAATTAATTTATTAACTTTTCTTAATATGGCCACTAATAAGTTTTAAATGACACAGTTTGCATTATATTTCTTTTGGACAACACTGGGTTAACCTGGTGCATAGTTAATATATGCAATGTGTTCCAGCTTACTTTTAAGAATTTTATACTTAAATCTTAATTCTTCTACTTACCTTAGTTTATTATATCAAACATTTTTGTATCAGAACTTTTATAAAAATTTCAGGGTCTAATATTAAATTGTTTAGCAAAGCAGTAACAGTGGATGCCTATACACATCAAGAAACGTATACAGGGCATTCAATCCATAAAGCAGCTTGTTCTACTACACTTCAGCAGAAAAGTCACAAATTCTGTATATGGTTAACAGGCACTGTCTGTGCTCATCTATGTGCCTAATGCCATGCTTTACCACACTTCACAAGCACCATATTTGGTAGTGTAATGCATTAAGTATTGGGCTGCTAACGGGAATGTCAGCAGTTCAAATCCATAATCCATTTCATAGGGTAAAAAAATAAGCAGTCTCCTCTCCCAGTGAGCTACAGCTTCAGAAAATTGACAGAGGGTCACCAATACTCAGAACTGACTGGACAGAGAGTGGGGCTTTGAGTTTATTATCAACCCTATTTAAAGAACAAATTGAGACACAACGGTTAAGCAACTTGTTACAAAGTACCACAGCTACAACCTGTGGAACTAAATGCCAGTCTAGGTGTTTCCAAACCCACCACACATTTCCCCAATAATGTAACTAACCAAAAAGATTATGCCATTATTACAGGAACTGAGTTTTACTTAAGGATATTGCAACCACGACAAAAAGTTTATAGAGTGGCTGGAGTTTGCACTTGGCTTTCTACTTTCTATCTCCACCCTCTCAAAGGCACAGTGACCACATGAATTAGCTAAATCCATCATCTTATTATACAGGTTTGTTCAATGCCTCATTTCCAAAAATATCTATTCTCATCCCTCTGGCCCAATTCCTATCTCTTCTGGAGGCTTTATCGTAAACATTTTCTCCATGCAAGTCACTCCTCCTTTATTCCCCTTTTGTAGCACTTTCCACACTCTGAGATTTTTCTTCAAGGCAATGCCACTAACTCCCAGTGCTGAAGCAGTGCCTAGTATTAGGTTCTCAATAAATATTTGCTTGATAATCTAACCACCTGACCAACCTAGATACAGCTAAAAGCGGAATAGTGAAAGCAAACTCTGTTAGGAAGCCCTAACCCAAGTCAGAGAATAAGTTCTAAGTTTCGTGAAGTTTATGACAATCTAAGAGTATATCTCCCAATAAAAGTAAAATCAAGATTAAAACCACCACTTGTCCAACTTAATTTGAATATAATTTGTTTCATATGAAAATTAATTAAGCTCCTGATGTCATAAGACTACAACAAATCAATATCAATGTTTTAATTTGAAATCAGTTCTTGACAATTCTCAGAATTCAAAGACTCCAGCAGCTTAATTCTGACAGTTCACAAAGTTCAAAGAAGACTACTGCTAATTCTAAACACTTTATAAAATTAGTTACACTTAAAATAGGTTTAATTGCATTCTTGTCACAATGCCCACTTCTGGTCTCCAAACGACAGAGTTTGAATATGAATTTCCAAATGACAAAACTCCCAAATGACAATGGGTCCTTTATGAAATTCACTTTGTATGTGTATGGGGGGTAAAGAAATGGGTTTCACCGCCAATTCATTCAGGACAATTCGTGTTGATGCCACAAAATCTCCCAGCCATTGTTAAAGGGACTTTCCTAGAACCTTCCCTTTTCTTTTCCTAAACAGGAAACTGATTTCAAAGGTCAATCTTGATTAATTAGCTCTTATTTCCACGCTAAGTAATTCCGAAACATGAGGTAAAAGTACATTAGAAGTAATCAGGGCTATGCCAGGCAAAACACTTTCCCGTAGATTCTAGCGCTAAGGGAGAAGTTGAATGGGGTTTGAGAACAAAACCTGACCACCTCCCTTAGATTCCTGCTTCTGTGGCCGTCTCGATGGCACGGCGAGGCCAGCATGCCAGCGTCCCACCCCAAGCACCAAAAGCCTCCAATTGTTTGACACATCAATGGATTAGTCAACGCGGGGCAACTCGCTTCCCCCCTTCTAATTTGCTTTCATGATTCTTCACGCAAACCTTCAAGTTTACTCAAAGTTAAAGCCATATGGAATCTGCCCCAAATATGAATTCAGGCCTTAACCCAGATGATCAAGAACAGCTTCAATCCGACCACTAAAACACACACCCCCTTCACCAAGATCATACGTGGGGTAACTCCTAACAAATAGAGAGAAAGCTTTAAAAAAAAAAAAAAAAGAAATCGCACACACAAAACCCAAACCAAGCCCAGGTTCTGGAACGTTGCTAAATGCTGGCTGTCCTGGAAACAGCAGGCACCGAGTGGAGTGGCTGACTTGATATCAAGAGAGCGGATGGCAAGCACGGGCAGACCCCGCCCCGGTGAGCCCATCGCCGATTCAAACAGTAACTTGGGTCTGTCGCCTGGAATCGGAATCACTGAAACAAAGGCGTATATTGCGGGAGGCAAGATGTCTGGAGTGAACAGAAAGGTTTGCAGCCACGGAGCCCGTGCATCATCCTCCCACAGGTCTTACCTATGGTGGAGATAAAGGTGGTATTGAAGGCATCATCCGAAAAACGAAAAAGGACGCAGGTCTTCCCCACTCCCGAGTCCCCGATCAGGAGCAGCTTGAAAAGCAGGTCGTACGTCTTCTTCGCCATTGGGAGGAGCGGTTCAGGCTCTCGCCGCCGGCGGCCCCAGGGGATCGGTCCCTCTCACTACGGCCAACTCCTCTCCGGCGTTCTCAGGCCGGAAGACCGGGGAGGCGTGGGGGGGGTGAAAGGGGGTTCGAGAGGGCGCAGGCGACCTAAGAAAGGCCTCGTCGAGGTACCCCCGACGGTGGCAGAGTCCGGTGCCTCCGAGGGCGGTGACTGCAGCTCCGCAGCCTCTCCCAGCGCTCCGCCCGGTTCCGGGGAGTCAGTCGGGACAAAATGGCCTCCCCTCCCCCTTCAGGGCTGCTCGGCCGGGACGCTCCCACGGGCGGGCGGGCAAGCTCTGCCGTCGAAGGAGCGAGGCGTGGGTGAGGACGGTCTCTCTCCTGAGCAGCAGGCCCCGCGCTAGAACGCGGCGACGGCAGCGAAGGAAGCCCCAGAGCCGACAGCTCAGCTACATAGCCACAGGAAGCCGTACCGCCCGGCCAGAGCCACCTTTTCCCCGTGCCCTCTCACGCCGGCGTGCGCGCTGCCTGAGACGCACGCAAGGACGTACGCCCGCCCTTCCCTCTCGCCCTCACCCTGCGGTCCGCCTCTGCGCACGCGCGCAAGAGGGTGTGGGACTCTCGGGGGCGGAGGGTGGAGTGCTCGGGTTTCCCAGCCTCTGTCTTAAACCAAGCGGAGAGCCGAGAGGGGAGAGGCGAGAGAGAGAGGGCGAGGTCGCCGGCGCGCTCCCTGCAGCCGCTTGATAGGGTGCGCGGCGTTACGAGCACGCCCTGCGGGTAGACGCTGCCTGGAGACTGCGCAGGCGCAGCACGAGTGGGTAGCCCCTTGCTCCCTCCCGCCCTTCTCGGAGTCTCCCTCCAGACAGCTTGGTTAGAATCCTGATCCTGGGAAACCAGGGTCTCGGTGTCCAAGTGCTGTGTAGGGGTAGCTCGTCAGCGAGAAGAGGGTCGCATCCAGGGTTGTTTAATAGCCTTTCTGGCTAAATGAGACGCATCCTTGGAGTGCCCTCCTTCACCGGGTAGGCTTGACAATGGAATCTTTAGAGCTCCGTCTGGGTTTTACATAAGGAACCACAGCCGCTGTTCTGAGAGCAGAAATTTGAAATGGAAATACTGGCCCTGCTGCTCATAGAAGAGTGATGTAATCGGACTTCCTGGGCGAGAAGAGAACCTCCCCGCGGAGTAGAAGGTTCGGTCCTGTGCTCAACACAGAACACCCACTGCTGGGCTTTGCCGACCTTTTGGAATTCAGGAAAGACCAGGAATTCCACGCAGGAGGCGGGGTCCATCCCCTGACACCAAAATCGAGCTACCGGTGTTAAAAATTGAACAGAGGCTTTGCGCATCTCACGCAGCTCTTTTCCTTTGCAGTTCCTTTTGGTATGCCCTCTGTCCCTTTTCTTTCGGTCTTGTACCTGTCTTTTTCTCATTCTCCTTTCTGTTGCTTAACTATTCTTTCTTCAGTCTTACCCTTCTGACTTCTCAGCGTGTTGCACTGTCCAGCACGTCTAGGATTTGGTGACAGAGTAGTTGAACAAGGTGGCCTGGTTCCACCTGATAAACGTAGAAACCTAGGACCCCTGCAGAACAAGAATCTGGGATTGCGAGAAGGGAGGGCCAGGGAAGTAAAAACTGCACTTTTACCTTTTCCTAGTATGTTTGTGTATTTAGCATGGAATTAAAACTAATCTTTCGGAAGGGGTAGTCCTATTTCTTTCTATTGTGTAAAGATTGCTTATATTCCCCCTTTCTGACCATCCCTGAAGCTTTGTTAACGAACATGTATCTTCTCTAAATTCAACAGTTCCTTTCTCTGATTGCTCTTCTTAGTCTGACCACTTAAACCCTCTTAACTTCTGTGAGTCACTCTTCCTCTAGTTGAGAATGTCTTTATTATGATAATACCAATAATTCTAAAGTAGACAGCTATGTTGTTAGCTGCCTTCCAGTAAACTCACAGCCTTTTTGTGTACAAAGAGTGGAACTGTGCTGTACAAAGCCCTCCCAATCACTAGCATGTTCAGGCCCATCCTTGTGGCTGTTGTGCCTATCCATCTCACATAGGGTCTCCGTACTCTCCTTGGTACTCTCCGTCACCAAACATGATGTCTTCCTGTAACAATTGATAGCTCCTGATGAAATATCTCAAGCAAGCAAGTCACATAAAATGGTCTGTTGTGATAAAAAGGGTTTTCACTGGCTAAGCCTCTCCTTTGAGGCTAGGATTTTGAAGCTCCGCCTCACTTACTTTGGGCACATGGCCTGGAGAGATCAGTCCTTGGAGAAGGACATCATGCTCAGAAGGGTAGATGGACAGCTTAGGAGAGGAAGACCCCAGAAGAGATGGACTGATAAAGTAACTGGAGCAATGGGGGTTGATGTGTTAGAGTTAGTGAGACTGGCCAAGGACAGGGAAGGTTTAAGAGCTTCTGTACATAGAGGGTCGATACATCGTAAGCAACTCAATGGCACATAACAATAACACACTATGACAGGTTTGAAAGCATTACTGGCATCCACTTTCTAAATAACATGCCTCTGAAAACTCTATGAACTTTGATAAATGTCAATAGTTGTAGAGGAGCTTCAGGCCTTTTGTTCATAGGGTTGCTATGAGTCATGCTCGACTTGAAGGCAATTAACAACAGCATTGCTAGACTACTCTTCCTAGTCTGTCTTAGTCTGGAAGTTCTGCTGAAACCTGCTGGTATTTTTAAATATTGGAGACACAGCTTTCAGCATCAGCAACCTATAACTCACCACAGTACAACAAGTGGATAGACTGATTCTAAAGAGTAACTATGCAAGTGACTATGGTTAGTATTTCACAGGTTTGTGATCAATTAAATCATAATGTTGAACACTTCAGGAAAGTGCCCCAGTGAAGGGTCACTATGAGTAGAAATTGATTCTACAGGAGTAAGAAATAAGTACTCACTTAGGGCTTTTTTCTTCTTTAAAATAGAAGGCCCCATAATATAAAGCCTTTTAGAAGAAAAAATATGTGTGTGTGTGTGTGTGTGTGTGTGTGTGTGTGTGTGTGTGTGTAAAGCTACATTTGGAGAGTAATCCCACTGTGTAAATTTGGAGCCTTACTAAAAATAAAGAAATCAAGACATAAGGTTTACTCTAAGTAAGTATTTTATTTGCATTATAGGGAGACCATTCTGGTTGCAAAAACAAAAGCAAACAAATGGCTCCAAGAAGACTAGTTAAAATGAAGTCTAAAAAAAAAAGAGGAAGACTAGAATTAGCTAGTTTTAATATGATTGATTGAAATTAACTGACACCACATCACCAAGTGATCTCTGGCAGTCTACCACTCCTCTGTCACCAAGATATGTTTTGAAATGTAAATTAAGCCTATTTTCAAGTGTGTGTGTGTGTGTGGGGTGAAGCTCAGCAGTTTTAGATAAAAGAAAAACAGACTTTGGGTGGGATTCATTTTGGGTCAAAAATTTTCTCATGGTTTAAATTTGGTTTCATGGGATAAAAAAAATAAACCACACCATAAAAATCCCCTTAAAATCAAATGAAGATGTCTTTTATTAAATTTTCTCTTTGATAAGGAAGTGAGTAGCTAGAAATCCTTCACTTTTCATCTCATTGGTTTCAGATTTTATCAGTTAGAACCTTTTCCAGCTGAGCCTTGTATTCTGAAACTTTAGAAATTAATTGCATTTATTAACATATTTTCTTTATTGTAGGTCAAGATCGTAGGATTTTCAGGCTGTCATAATCCTCTACCTCACAATCCAACCCCTCTGTATAATTTAGAGAGAGTTCTGGTGAGTAGTAAGAAGTAGTGCTGCCAACCCAAAGGCATATACATGGCTAGAATCTACCAGCTGATCTGAGGAACAATTTCCTCTCATATGATTAGTTATTGTTGTTGTTTGCTGTCAAGTAGACTATAACTCATAGCAATCCTATGCACAATAACTCTGAACCCTGTTCTATCCTGAGCCAATCTCACTATCTCTGACACATCTACCCTCCTTAGCCCATTACTCTCGTCAATCCATCTCATTCAGTGTCTTCCTCTCCTGTGCTACCCCTCCTCACTCCCAAGAATAATACCTTTCTCCCAGGACTGGCCCGTCCTGGCCACATGCCAAAGTATGTGAGATGGAGCTTCAAAATCCTTGCCTCCAAGGAGTGATTTCACCCTTTCCAGGACAGATTTGTTTGTTCTTTTGGCAGTCCATGGTATGTTCAATGCTCTTCTCCAGCACTACAACTCAAAGGTATCAATTCTTCTTCAGTCATCTTTAGACATTGTCCAGCTCTCTGGTGCATAGAAAGTAATTGTGAAGACTATGGCCTGGATCAGGTGCACCTTAGTCTCTAGACAAATCTCCTTGCCCTTCAGCACTCTGGAGAGGTCTCTGACAGAAGATTTTCCTAATGAAATTAATCTTTTGATTTCCTGACTCTTGATGTCAAAAGTGTTGATTGTGGACCCAAACAAGTGAAATTGTTAACAACCTCTATCTCTTCTCTATCTATCATGGTACTGCCAATTGGCCCAGTGGTAAGAATCTTCATTTTCTTGATATTGAGCTTCAATCCATGTTGCAGGCTATAGTCCTTAATCTTCTGCAGCAAATGCTTCAGGCCCTCCTCAGTTTCAGCAAGTAAGGTTGTGTCATCTGCATAATGCAGGTTGCTGATGAGTCTTCCTCCAATCCTAACACCACATTCCTTCTCATAAAGTCCAACATCTGGAATGATCTGTTCTACATACTGATTGAAAAGGTATGGAAACAGGATATATTCCTGATGCACGCCTTTTCTGATTTTGAACCATGCAATGTTTCCTTGCTCTGTTTTGACGACTGCCTCATGGTCTAAGTATAGGCTTCACATGAGCACAATCAGGTATTCTGGGATTCCCATTTTTCTCAGAGTTAGACACAGTTTGTTGTAATCTACACAGCCAAATGTCTTTCCACAGTCAATGAAACACAGACATTTCTCTGGTATTCTCTCCGCTTTCGGCCAAGCTCCATCTGATGTTAACAATGATGTCTCTAGTGCCACAGCCTTTTCCAAACCCAGCTTGTATTTCTGGCAGTTCTCTATCGATGTACTA